GACAGATTCAAGTAATTGTGACATAGATGGTAGGTATGGCCCACAAAACCTGAAATATTTCGTTTCTGCCTCTTTACAGAAAAAGTTTGTCAGCCAGTGCTCTAGACAATCAGATTTCATTGAAAAGAACATTCCCCTGGGCTCCAAAAACAAAGTTCTGAAGGCTTGCAGTGCATAAAGAACCAATTAAACAAGCTGATGTCCACTTGATTTACTAAGTGATAAAAGTATTTAGTTTTTTTAACATGAATCCATAATATCAGAAAATTTCCTAAAATATGTTTGAATGCTGACGTTTTCTAAGCATCTCTATAACATTGCTAGTAAAAGCACAGAAGACAGATTACTACAGTCTAGCAATTTTAGAAGAACTGGCCTAAGAAGAAAAAAAAGTGCTTAATAATTCAAAAAATTACCCATGTTACTTATCAAACTATTAAAAGAAATGTATCAACTATCTTGAAAAGCAGCACATTATTTCTTACAGAAAAAATTACACTAGACCTAGTTAATGTTACATAAATATTTACATTGAACTGCTTATCTCATGTAGCATCCCCATATTTCAGGCTTTCAAAACAATTACTGAAAACACAAGTATGTTTACCAGAACAAATATATATATGTTTTCCAATTTAGGGCATTTTTTTAAAATTTAATACAATTTTTGAGTGTGCTTACATACCCAACCCTGTACAAGTTGCTGGAAACAGGATGATGATGATCCATTTGTAGTTAATAGTTTATGGAACAGACTAGTATCACAGTGATATTATACACATAAGAACAAGAGGGGCAGAAGCACAGGTAATGAGTACACTGGGTAACTAAGGGAAGACTTCTAGAAGAAAAGCTATTTGAATTGGGTATTGAAGTGGGAGCAGGACTTTCGCAGGTTTGTGGGAGGGGGAAGGAAGAGAGAGGAATGGCAGAGCAACACCATTCTGGTTTGAGTGCAGAAAAAGAAAATGAGACATGAAAAGGACTTAGCAAATCCTAGGAAAAAAATGAGCAGTTGAATGCTACAGAAGCATATGGCTTGAACACACTGGGAAAAAAGGAGGGAGGTGGTGGCAGGCGTAAAGGCTGTAAAGACTAAAGACTTTAAGATCCAAATGCAAATGGCTTTACACGCCAAACTAGGGAATTAAGATCTGATGTAACCGTATGAGCCACAGAGAATATACAGCTTTACAAGAAGAGATATGACATGATTGATTTTATTTTGTTAACACTGGCAGCAACTTGGATCTTGGACTACAGTGAGGGAAGACTAATGGCAGAGACCAATTTGGCTATTATGCAAATCAGAGATGATGGCCAAAAGTAATGAGACTGAAGATGAAGAGAAACCAAATAAAGAGAAGCAACTGCATGTGGTAGAATCTCCAGGCCTGAACTCCTACGTTTTTAAAATGCCCCTGATATGTGATACTTTTCCATATTTTTCGGTACAGATGTAGTACCCTTTGCATGGAAGAAGTTTATACAATAAGATTGTCAAAAGGGGAAGCAATGTGGTCTTTTTTGTTTTTTCTCCCGAGGTATTAGGAGGGAAAACACATTAGGAAATACAAGAGCTCAAGAGTCAAGAGATCTGGATTACAGGCTTGTCTTTGCCAAGACTATGGGCATGACAACCTCTAAAAGCTCTGGTTTTCTACTTTGTAAAAAGAAGAAATTAGATGATCTGAAATTCTTGAAAGCTCTAAAATACTATGATCATAGCAATACATCTTTAATCTTTGGGAGGTCTCCAAAACAATGCAAATACAATTATCTATTTCAACTACTGAACAAAATGTGAAAAACCCGTTAAAAACGTACTACATTTATTGTGAAGGATTCATGACAGACATTAAGACATGTAGTTACCAACTACTCATCTGAAACCCTAAGGCAAAACTGAAACTCAGATAACTCTGTCAGCCATTTCACTTTCAATTACTATATTTCAAAATAACTCCAAAAAGCAGCATTCTTTTATTGGAGTGGTTCAAAAGACTAAATGAATGTCTGCAAAGTTGAATGGTAGTATTGTTGGGTACAACAGTTTTCAGACATAACACTAGTCTATGGAATCATGTTTGCCTGAACCTCTTATTCACAAAAGAACTTTTTAACAATATTCCTTTATCAATCAAAACAAGAAGTGTTTCAAACTTGATAAATATGGTCTTGAGATTTTTAACCATACTGTTATGTGACTTTTTCCTAATGTTGAAAACTGTATTACAAATTCTTGCTCATAAAAAGTCTAGAAATATTCTAAACTGGTTTCTCTTCAAGAATAACTTCTGAGCCTGATTTTTTTTTTTAAAAAAAAGGATAGTTGGGTCAAAAGACCTGCTTCCTTCAAAACAAAAAGATGGAACAAATAATATTGTTATTAAAGGTGAAAAACCCAGATGTAAATCTTGCATTTCCAGTCCATTATAAATTTATGTAGCATAATTAACACAGCCTAAGTTAAAGTCATATTTCAAGGGAAACAACATTCTAAGGTTCTGTAAACTCTATTATTAAACTATAAGCAGAGGCTTTTCTAATGATGTTTTATGTTACATTACTTCTTCCAGTGTTTCTTCTAGAGACCTGAACAATTTTGGGGTTATATGCTACATCACATACACCAGTATAGTTCCTCTTTAAGGTACTCACGTGATTTCTCTCTTGCTCCCTAAAATAGCATTATACATCTGAGTTAACCAAAATAAATTCTGGAAAGAGCTATACTGTAACTTACTATGATCTGAGTGTAAAATTCTTTACCATGCGAATCTGTATCAGTTTAGAACCATCACTAAAAACTTTCTGTTCTTTCAAATCGTCAGTATCAATGAACATAAAACTAATCCTGCTACCAACCCACAAGAGACGTGGGTGTTTACTATAAAGCCTTAAATCTCATCTAGACTCTTGGTCCAAGAAAAAAAACACTTTATACTGATTTTTCTTACATGTAATTTACTGATTTAAAGTAATGCGTTCAGATCCTGAAAGGTTTTTTTTAAAGCATATATTTTGAAGATATACAAACTGATTTTACTCTACTAAAGAAGCTTTATTAATTCTAATTAAACAAATTTCACTCAAGAAGGAAGTGTATTCAAATCAAGAATTTTATTAGAGGGGAAAATATTCAAAAAGAACAAATATAAGCGGAAATTAAATTATGTGTTCTTTGTTGTAGCCCGTGCTATTCAAATACAATTCAGAAGCAGAATTTAACTTTTCTTAAAAGCTGCCTGCTTAAAAAAAAAAATTTTTTAAAAACAGAATTAAAATACATTTTTAAAATTCCAGTCCAAATATATTATAAAGTTAGCATGAGGAGTATGAAAAACACCACCTCTGATTTGTTTTGTAATGCCAGTGCTGAAATAGGAAAGCTAGATGTGCTTTCCCCAAATATATCTGATAAGATTCCCACAGGAACACCAATATAACAAGGAGAGTGGATATTCCAAAGACAAAACACAAGTTAATTATAGTACTTCACATTCCAAGACACTCATCCAAGGACACCTGGCAATTAACTAAGGAATTATGAGAAAAGTTTACAAACAACTGAGTACTATGGGGTCCGTCCACTTACAAGAGAAAAAATTATTTGCAATAATAATAATCCTTTACACTTGTAAAGTACCTTGTAGTTTTCACCATGCGCGTGCACGCGCGCGCGCACACATACACAAACCCCCCCTACCTACTTTGGTCCTAGAGTTCATCAATCAACCCAGAGAGTGTGCAGAACGATAAGCAGCACTTCAGATCTTACTAATATCACTGTGGCTGATATTCAGTTCATTCAGAAATGTTTCGCTACGATCCTAAAAACTCTCATCCACATAGTTTGATCGTCTTTAAAGTTTAAGCGGGATACGCAGATGTTCCCGGGCTCCCTAACTCTGGGTAAGGGGAACTCCTGCCAGGATGGGCCCTGAGGTGACGAATGGTTTTAACCCACCCTTCGCAGGCAGAGAACTGGTTCCACCTGTCCTGGAGGACGAGCCGTGTGCCCTCCAGTACGAAGGATAGGCATCCTCAACACAACGTCCAGCTCTCCTTCTCCTATGAAAACAATCAGTAAGGGCTTCCTAAGGGGTTCCTACGATTCTCCCTCAACTCCCAGGAAAACAAAGGTTCAGGCCCAGCTCTGTGTTACTCGAATTCCGTTCTGGATAATCTAGATGCCCCATAAACCTCAGCACGCAGTCATTTGGCAGAGGATGGAGTGGAGGACCTAAGAATACCCAAGGTGCGGGGAAATGAGCTACCAGAGCGAACTCTGAAGTTCTGCGAGCAAAACGCGGTTATCTCTCAGAAGGTCCTACATTCGAGGGAAGGTGCGGAACTGAGAACGTGAGAAATCGAAATCGGAGGCAGGCGAAGCGGCGTGGAGAAGTGGCCGGGTATACGACTGGGACTGAGGGACTGCGCGGAGGGGCCATCGGGTTGGCTGGCCCCAAGGGCGAAGGTGCCCAACAGCTCAGACTCGTGAGGCTGGCGAGGACCCAGACGCACGGCCGGCCGACGGACTCCTCGGCTAGGTTTCAAACCGCCGCCCCCGGGAGGCGCTCAGCCGATTGGAAGTTCCACCACGACCGTCACCAGCCTAAGGCCGGAGCGGCAACTCCCCGGCGGAGCTCTCCCAGCCCTCCGCGTCTCCCCTGGAGACCAGACACCCACAAACTCCACCTCCCACCGAGGTCCCAACTCGAGTCCCGCCGCCAGCTCCATGCACGCGGAGGGCGCCCCGCAGGACCGGACCTACGCCCCCCGACCGGGCTGCGCCGCGGGAGTTCAAGGGGTGCGACGGGGCCGCGCGGGGGGCGAGCAGAACCCACGTCCCTCAGTCTGCCCCGGGACGCGGCCCCGCGACCACCTCCGTCTCGCCCCCCGGGCACGGCCCGACTCGGCTCCGACCCACCCATCCCGCGCGGTCGCGGGCAGAGCTAGGACCCGAGCAAGCCTACTCCCCCCGCCCCTGCTCTTACCCATCTTTTCGCCTCGCCTTGTAGACGTGCCCGTAGGTGCCGCGTCCCACTTTGCACCCTTCGTACTCAAACAAATCCTCCACCCGCTCCCGCTCCGCCGCCAGCTTCGCCTTGAAATCATAATCCATTGTCTGCTTTCCCCATAGAGGCACCGGAACGCGGGGGCCGCCGCCGCTCAGTCCCTCCTCCTCCTCCCCCCGCGACCGCCGCTCCACTTCTCTGGCCACCTCTCGGGCGCGCGCGCGCGCGGCCCGCCGCCCCGCAATCCGCCTTCAGCAAGGGACTCCTCGGCGGCCGCGGCAACCACCTCCTCCACCTCCTCCTCCTCCGCGGCAGCGGCGGCGGCAGCTCCCGCAGGAACCCCCAGTCCCGCCTCCCCCCTTCATTTCCTTGTTTTGGAACCTGGTGGGCCGCGCCGCGGCTTCCTCGAGCTCATTAACGAACCAGCCCGCCCGCCCCGAGATCGCGGAGACTCCTGGGAAATGTAGTTCCTCAGGCCTCAGGAATGGTTTGAGTTTTGCGGGTGAAAGAAATACAACTCCCAGGCTGCCGTGGGCCACTACAGCCCCACCTTCACAAGGCGTGTACGCCTGCGCACTGAAACCGCCCCCCCCCACAGGTAGCGTTAGACTCCCACCAGTTCTTGTTAAGGTAGAAAGCGCAAAGTTGTGGTGTGCTTTCTGCGAGTCTGTGGGAGCTGGTGGAAAGAAGGCGCTTGTTCTGGTGCAAGGAAGGTACTCTATTATAATTGCCCCCGTGCGAGAAGGAGAGTGGAAAGTGTTTAACAAGCGCCTTGCCCAGGAGCTTGCTCCTGCGGTTTACGAGGGAAGGACTGTGGTTAGGGCAGTTGTACTGAAGATCGTTGTTTGTTTTTTTGTAGCAATTGTCCCGCCTCTTACCCCGCCCCCATCCAGCCGCTCATTGGCGGAGAAGAGAGAATGACGTCCTCGTTGGTGCGTGGGTATCCCCAGGCTTTGGCTTCTTTCCGACTCTTGATTGGTAATTGGATGTGCTAGGTTCTTCCTGATAGGATAATCTTTTTTCTTTACGATGCAAAAACCGTATTTCAAAAGCTGAACATTCAGCGGTTTCCTACTTCTAGCATCGGCCAGAGAACATGTAACTTCTGCGCCCTAGTCAGCCAATCATCCTTTTCTTGGGGCTCTAGTCATGATCTCCTCTTACCATATGTGATTCCCACAGCCAAGCTTTTGGCCATCTGTCTAAGGACAATTAAGGTGCCTGCGGAACGCAGCGTTTTGAAAACAATCATTTGGGTTAGATTGTAGAGGGATTTTTACGTTTTATGCATAATGGTGACGTTGCGCTAGAATGTTTAAGAAAGTCTCCTTTATCAAGGTGAACGCTGATTCATTGTTGCGTGCATAAAACGTAGCAAATGTTTGGGATGCAATCAAACATGGTTGGTGCTAGGATGGGACTTACACACCACATTCAGTGGGAGCATAGAGCAGGAAATAGTCAATTCTACCTGAAGTGGTAAGGAAAGTTAATAGTAGTGACCCGCTTGCTGGGTTTTGGAAGAAACCTGGAAAACTAGAGAGAGGCGTGGGGGTAGGGTGGGGAGAATTGTTTATTTACTACAACAATGTTTCCTGGGAAACTTCCTCAGATCTTGAAGTAAATCATGAAGTATCTGAGTTTCTGTTATTTCCAGGCACTATGATAAGTGCTGGAGATACCAGATGAAAATTGGTCTTTTCCATCAGGGACTAAAATGTATTGAAAAAATAAACATGCAAACAAATTAAAAACTATGTGGGTACAAAGAGCAATAGTAGAATAGGAGGACTTCCAGAAGAGTCAGGGTAGGCGTCATTAAGGGGGTAGTTTTCAGCCAAAATTTAAATAATCTTATTTGAAGGACAAGTGGGGAAGTAACAAAGAATTATCTCTGGCAGAATGGCATGTGTATATATCATTGACAGAACCTGATATATTCTGACAAATGCAAATAGCTTGAACATTACAGATTAAGACAGGAAAAGATGACAGCTAAGAAGAGACTGGAGAGATAAACAGAGGTCAGAATATGAAGACCTATATATGTCAAGCAGAAGCTTTAGATTTCCTCATTCTATAGGCAATAAAAAGCCATTGAAGACTTTTGAGCCAAGAAGTAATCAATATTGTGTATTCAAAAAAAATACTTCTGGACTTCCCTGGTGGCGCAGTGGTTAAGAATCCGCCCGTCAGTGCAGGGGACGCAGGTTCAATCCCTGGTCCAGGAAGGTACCACATGCCACGGAGCAACTAAGCATGTGTGCCACGACTACTGAGCATGCGTGCCACAACTATGAAGCCTGCGCACCGCAAGGAAGAGTAGTCCCCACTCACCGCAACTAGAGAAAGCCAGCGCACCCCAACGAAGAGTGATGCAGCCAAAAATAAATAGAATTAAATCTTTAAAAAAATAAAAAAGAGTTTGACCACACCGTTTTTACCAAGGATGGGGGAAACAGACATTCTCCTGCATTGCCAGTGGAAGTATATATTCACAAAATATGTACCAATACATACATTAGATTTTGGTTTGGCAATATCTATCAAAATTACATAACAGTATCCTACAATTATACTCCTTGTGGCGGATGCTCTGATAAGCCTTCCTAGACACACACCCCTTCAGGACTAAAGGATGTACTATTCCCCCAAGCTGCTGGGAGTGCTGCCGCAGCCTTCAGCTGTCAACCCTCTTCAGGAATTGCCTTGTCTAAAGAGCCACCTCATCTCACCTCACCTCACCATTTTCCTGGAGCACCCTACATCCAATGACTGATTAATGCAGGGATGTAAAGGCCCAGACCTCTCACCCCACTTCAGGACAACTCTGATCCTATCTTCAGAACTCCCTGTTGGGCTGACTCAGGCCGTCACTGAGAATGCATTGCAGACCAACTTCTCAACCTCCCCCATCCTGCTTTCTTCCTTTTCCTTCCACAAGTATTGATCCCATCAACATTCTGTAATAAACTGATTACATGTTAATCTCCATATCAAGGTCTGCTTCCCCAGGAGCCCAGTTTGTGGAATTCCCCATTTGTGTGCAATATGATACAACTTAAGGTTATTCATTGAGCATTGTTTCTACTAGGAAAGGACTGGGAAACAACAAAAGTGTTCATTAGAAAAGGACTGGATAAATAAATTATGGCACATGCACCGATGGATTATTATGCAGCCCTAAAAATAATTCAAAAGCTATGAAATATGCCTCTCAGATCTCCTCCTTGCAAGAAAGCCCCAGTTGCTAAGCTCTGGATCTACCACTGCATTTGCAATGAGGCCACAGTCCCCAACGGTTGCTCCTAGCCTATGACTGACCATAGCAGGATACTATGCTGGCAGTGCTGCATAGGCAGGTCCATTCCTGCAAGATGCAGAGTTCCTCTGACAGGTGAGTTGAGCTTAAGGACTCCCCAGGCATAAGCCTGTCTGACACTTCCTTTGAACTCTGTTGCAGTCTGAGTCACTGCCTACCCAACCCTCCTTCCTTCCCTCTCTCCTTCACAGGGGCAGATTAGCCTCACGATCTGACAGCTCCTTCAGCTCCCCACTTTCTCTTCCTCACAGGCATTTCCTCCAATAAGTGTCTTACAGGTCTAATCCCATCTTGGCATCTACTTTTCAGAAGACCTGATCAATGAGGAAATTGTTTAGGTATTGAAATGGAAAGACCTCCAAGATATCAATATATTTTTAAGTGGAAAAAAAAAAGCAAGAATCAGAAGAGTGTCCATAATATGCTAACATTTTTATACAAAAGAAAAAATACATACTTTCTTGTGTATGCATGACTTATCTGTAAAAGGACCACAAGAAACCGTATACCTTTCTGAATTCTGATCCATGAAATACTGCCTTTTCAAAAGGTAAATAAATAAAATTTAAATGAAAAAAAATAGAAACTTGGCTAAAAAGGAAGGAGAAAAATAGATAGGATTGTAGCTACCATGGTCAAGGAAGGTTCAGAGTTTTGTTATTAGTTTGTGTTTAATAAGGGGAAGGAACTTTTCATATATATTTTTTATTGGAATATATTTGCTGTACAGTGTTGTGTTAGTTTCTGCTGTACAGCAAAGTGAATCAGCTATATGTATACATATATCCCCTCTTTTATGGATTTCCTTCCCATATAGGTCACAACAGAGCATTGAGGAGAATTCCCTGTGCTATACAGTCAGTTCTCATTAGTTATCTATTTTATACATAGTAGTGTATATATGTCAATCCCAATCTCCCAATCCATACCACCCCCCCTTCCCCCCTTGGTATCCATACATTTGTTCTCTACATCTGTGTTTCTATTTCCACTTTGCAAATAAGTTCATCTATACCATTTTTCTAGATTCCACATATAAGCATTAATATACGATATTTGTTTTCCTCTTTCTGACTTACTTCACTCTGTTTGACAGTTTCTAGATCCATCCACGTCTCAACAAATGACCCAATTTCATTCCTTTTTATGGCTGAGTAATATTCCATTGTATACATGTACCACAACTTCTTTATCCATTTGTCTGTTGATGGGCATTTAGGTTGCTTCCATGACCTGGCTATTGTAAACAGTGCTGCAATGAACATTGGGGTGCATGTGTCTTTTTGAATTATGGTTTTCTCTGGGTATATGCCCAGTAGTGGGATTGCTGGATCATATGGTAATTCTATTTTTAGTTTTTTAAGGAACCTCCATACTGTTCTCCATAGTGGCTGTATCAATTTACATTCCCACCAACAGTGCAAGAGGGTCCCCTTTTCTCTGCACCCTCTCCAGCATTTATTGTTTGTAGATTTTTTGATGATGGCCATTCTGACCAGTGTGAGGTGATACTCATTATAGGAACTTTTCATATATTGAAGGAAAAGAGCCGGTGGAAAAAGAAAATGTGAAACCAATACTCTTCAGTACAGTGTTCAATAAATTACATGAGATATTGAACACTTCATTAAAATAGGCTTTGCATTAGATGATTTTGCCCAACTCTAGGCAAATGTAAGTGTTCTGAGCATATTTAAGGTAGGCCAGGCTAAACTATGATGTTCAGTAAGATAGGTGTATTAAACACATTTTCAACTTAACAATATTTTCCATTTAACAATGGGCTTAACGGGACATAACCCCATCGTAAATCAAGGAAGATCCATAATAACTTTTCATTTCTATATGACATGGGAAGCATGATCAAA